CCAAAACGCTGGCTTGCATCTATAGATGCTTGTCAAGCAAATCCCGGGATGTCATTCTCCCCTTGTACTCAGCCTTGGTGAGGCTGCAGCTCGAGTACTGTGTCCAGTTTTGGGTCCCACAATTCAAAAAGGATGTGGAGAAGCTTGAGAGAGTCCAGAGAAGAGCCACATGCATGATCAGAGGTCAGGAAAACAGACTTTACGATGACAGGCTGAGAGCTATGGGGCTCTTTAGCCTGGAAAAGCGCAGGCTCGGGTAATCTGATGGCCATCTGTAAGTTTATCAGGGGTGACCACCAGTATCTGGGGGAACGTTTGTTCACCAGAGCGCGCCATGGGATGACGAGGTCAAACTGTTATAAACTCCTGCAAGACCGTTCCAGGCTGGACATAAGGAAGAATTTTTTTACTGTCCGAGCCCCTAAGGTCTGGAATAGCCTGCCATCGGAGGTGGTTCAAGCACCTACATTGAACACCTTCAAGAGAAAATTGGATGCTTATCTTGCTAGGATCCTATGACCCCAGCTGACTTCCTGCCCTTCAGGCTGGGGGCTGGACTCGATGATCTTCCAAGGCCCCTTCCAGCCCTAGTGTCTATGAAATCTATGGAGGGTACAGTTAGGATTCAGAGGGACCTAGACAAATTGGAGAATTGGGCCAAAACAAATCTCATGAGGTTCAACAAGGACAAGTGTAAAGTTCTGCACTTAGGAGGGAACAATGCCATGCACCAGTACAGGCTGGGAGCGGAATGGCTGGGCAGCAGCTCTGCAGAAAAGGACCTGGGGGTTACAATGGGCAATAAGCTGAATACAAGCCAGGAGTGATTCATATGAATATGAGCCAGGGAAGTGATTATCCCTTTCTATTCAACACTGGGCCCCCCACTACAGAAAGGATGTGGACAAATTGGGCAGGGCAACAAAAATGGTGAGGAGTTGGGGGACATAACTTATGAGGAAAGACTGAGGGTCTTCCTCAGTCTTTCTAATAAGACTGGGCTTATTTAGTCTAGAGAAGAGGAGACTGGGAGGGGATTTAATAGCAGCCTTCAACTACCTGAAGCAGGTTCAAAAAAGGGTGGAATCTAGACTGTTCTCAGTGGTGGCAGATGACAAAGCAAGAAGCAATGGTCTCAAGGTACAGCAAGGGAAGCTTAGGTTAGATATTAGGAAGAATTTTCTCACTAGCAGGATAGTAAAACTTCAGAGGCACCAAAAGGAGCACTATGACTGCACAGCTGCATTCTTGCCACCTCTGCAAGAGGGGGAAAAAGTAAGGATGCAAACGAATACAAGTTGGACACTGAAACAGGTTACCCAGAGATTGTGGAATCTCCATCCTGGGAGGTTTTTAAGACCTAGCTAGACAAAGCCTTGGCTAGGATGATCAAATTGGGGAGGGTCCTGCTTTGAGCAGGGCTTTGAACTAGATGACCTCTTGAGGTCCCATCCAACCCTAATTTCATCCCTTTTTGTCATGACGGACGTTGGTGTCCAACTTGTACTCGTTTGCGTCCTTACTTTCTCTCCCTCTTATAGAGGTGGCAAGATGCAGCTGTGCAGTCATAGTGCTCCTTTTGGCACCTTTGAAGTTTCCACAACTTGTGGGAGGCAGTCAGCGGTAATCTAGGAGTCAGCACCGCCATTGTAGCAGGGAGGGTACTGCGCAAAAGTCTCCCCATTAGAAGCTGCACTAGAGCATACTCAAGACTGGTATGGGCGTGTTCCTCAGATTGAGTAAAGCCAGATATAGATCAGAGCCATCCTGAAAAGTCTTCTTAAACATTGATTTGATGGTCTGAACTGTGCATTCAGCCTGACTATTGGATTGTGGGTAACCTGGGCAAGAATGGGTGAAGTTTTGGCCCCAATCAGTTGCAATTTGTTTCATTGTGTGACCTACAAACAGCACATGATCACAAACAATCTCGTTAGGTGAGCAAATACAGATTTTATTTTGGCTACTACCATGCCAACTGTTTTGTCTGGCAGGTGCAAAACTTCAGGGTACTTGGAGCTGTAGTCAACTATAATCAAATAAAACTGTCCCTGTAGGTCAAAAATGTCCGCTGCCAGTTTTAGCCAAGGCAGGTCTGGGATATCAGGTGAGATCATGGGCTTTTTCCGATTACTGGGTTGGAGCTCTTGACGAGGTGCACAATTCACAATCCATTGCTCAATGTGGGCATTCATTTTAGGCCAGTACATGATTTGTCGAGCTTGCACTTTCGACCGTCGTATACCTTGATGGAGTGAGTAAAGCAATGTCAACACGTTGGTCCTCGCACCACTGGGAATGATTATTTTCAGCCCAATCATAAGCAAATCATTCTGAATCTGCATTTGGTCTCGGAGAGGCCAGTACGGCTTCAGTTCAAGTTTGACTTGTTTTTGCCTGCTTGGCCATACATTAAGATGCTGCATTCTAAGGGCTTGTAGTTTCTTGTCAGACTTTGTGTGCTCCTGTAACTGCTGGAGTAACTGGTCACTGGAGTGGCTCTTTTTCCGTCAGACCATGAATCACCTTTTCTGAGTGGAAAAGATCAGGGAGTGAGCACTGTAGCTCTAGAAACGTGTGAGCCACTAACTTGTCTTTGCCTTTGGTGTAGTGAATCTGAATGTCATATTTTTGGAGCTGCAACAGTATCCTCTGTAGCCATGCCAGAGCCTTTCCTATGGGCTTCACAAAAATTGCTTCCAGGGGTTTGTGGTCAAACTGGATCCGTACCTGGGTGGTGCCATACACATACATATTGGTGGAACTTTGTCATGGAGAAGACAATTGCCAGAAGTTCTTTTTCAATCTGCACATAATTTCTCTCAGAGTGCGTTAGAGCCTTTGAAGCATATGCAATTGGTTGATTCTGCTGAAACAGACACGCTCCTAAGCCGTCTTTGGCCGAGTTGGCTTGGATTTCCAGCTGCTCTGCTGGGTTGAAGTACCTGAGCACAGGTGCCGTCGTGATGGGTTTTTTGAGCTTATCCAGGGCTGCCTGATGCTCAGATCCCCATTGCCACACAATGTCATTTCTGAGAAGCGCTTTCAGAGGGGCCATCAGGCTTTACTCATGTGGAATGTATTGTGCTAAGTACTGAATGGTTCCGAGGAGTGTCTGAAGGCCTTTTTGTTTGTTGGAGAGGGCACCTGTTGATGGCTTCCACTTTGTCATTGTCTGGTTTGACACCATCTTTTGAGAAGATATGGCCCATACACCTAATGCTGTCAACTAAAAACTGTATTTTGTCCTTATTAAGCTTTACTCCTTTCAGACATGCTCTCTCCAGGACTTGTTTCAGGATGGTGTCATGCTCCTCTTTGGTAGCCACTGCTATAAACATGTCCTCCGCAATTATGTGGATTCCTGAAATGTCACCAAAGCACTCATAATTCTTCTATTGGAATACTTTGCTAGCTGACTTAACACCAAAGGGAAGGCAATTGAAGTGATACTGCCCTCATGGGATGTTAAAGATACACAACTCTATCAATTCCTCATCCAATTTGGCTTGCCAATAACCATCCTTTTTATCAAGAATGGTGAACAGCTTTTTACCTGACAAGCTCTTCTACACATCTTCTACAGTGGGAATCAAAAAGTGCTGCCTCAGCACTGCCTTGTTGAGGTCTCATGGGTCTAGACAAAGTTGTAGCGAATCATCCTTCTTTTGTGTGATCACAAAGCTACTGACCCAGGGCGTGGGCTTAGTCACCTTTGTAATGACTCTCATAGTTTCCAGCATTTCAGGGGCAGGCTTCAACTTGCCTGGGGTTACATAGGGAATTTTTCTACACCCACGCACAACTAGTGGTACCACTGGGTTGGCATAGATGTGGTGGGTACCAGGGAATTGGCCCAAAGCTTCAAAAACAATCAGGTATAATTTGAGAAGATCTGTGTTGGTTGCAGGTGCTGTCAGAGCCATTCCATGGACTCATCTGATAAGGTCTAAGGTGGTGCGTGCCACCCTACCAAGTATTGGTGGGTCACTATTATCTGCTATATACAAAGTTAAATTAGATTCATTAGCACCAGACTTACAGTGTGCAGTGATTGCACCTTGTGGTTTGATGCGTGCGTTGCCAAATGCAACAAATGAAACATGAGCAGGAGTCCTGCATACTTTACCTTGCAGGGCCTTTGCTACATCTGCTGGGATAATGTTTGCTTCTGCTCCAGTATCTAACTTAAAAGGAGCTGGCAAGCCAGCAATCATGACTGTGCTATACCAGGCCTTCTGGTTATCAAAGATGTGTGAGTGCAGACATTGTGCCCATATATAGGGTACTGACTCCTTTTGCAGACTTTGGAGCCTCTCCCTTTGATTTGCACTAAAGGATAATGCTGGTGGAGGTTGGAAATGCTCCATTATTTTATTTTTTTTAATGAAAACTGTAACCCTCTTAATCAGGCTGCTGGTGACTCCAAAGAGACAGGTCACTTCTGACACCATACAATGTTTACTGTATGCCACTGGGTTCCAGGGATGGGGTACTCACTCAGACCTCCATGCCTTTGGGGTTCTGTCCTCGAGTCACCATTCAGCAGAGACTGGTGGGGTGGTAAACAACTTTATCTTTATTAGGAGCAGGACTCATCAACTCTCATGCTCACAGCTTGCAGGGAGATCCACAATTACCCACCACCACAAACCACACCCACAGGGTATCAGGGGGAGAGAATGGGTCATCTCACTGCTGGCCCATTAAAGGTACATTCCATATACCACAAATGCCATGTCCAGCAGAGCCAAAGGGCCTAACTTCTGGTGTCCTCCAGTAGCCCAGTGGACTGGACAGAGAGGTTCCACAGGCTGTTCCACAACTTCTCCCCATCTCAGTGGCTACTCACAGGGAATTTAGACCCCCCAGTAAACAACTTACAACCAAATCCTTCAAGTGGTGAATAGCATTAGAACCATGGGGTTTGCTCCCATCCTTTGAAAATGTAGCTGAGCCCCATGCTGTGTTTTAAAGTGAGCTCTCATTAACCATTTCAGAGCGCAGCTTCCTGAGTACATCTTGGACTTTGGCTACATCATTCTTGGTAACATCCGAACCCACATTGTCAAAATCACTAACACCAGCCAGTTCCCTGTGTCCTTTCAAGCAGACAGACGCACCCTGCATGATACAGGTAATAGGGGGAAGGGGGAGGGGAAGAATTCACCTGGGCTTTAACTAAATGATTAAAACAGCCATTTTTATTGATGGTTTAAAAGATGTAGGATTATTCAGTTATTCAAGTGCTTGTCCCTACATAATCCAATGTTGAGGTGGATGCACCCAATTCACTTGGGCAAAATTCATTCAGCTGTTAAGACCATATCTAAGCCATGATTATCCTCATGCCTGAGCAGAGAGCTTAAAGGGCACAGCTGCCTCAGCTTTTCCTTGGTTCTTCCACTGCTTGCAGATGCAAGCCATAACTTTTCATTCACTTTTCCTATTCATAGGTAGACTGTGATAGAGAGTTAGATATCTAGAAGACAGTTAGTGATTAGCTTAAGCATCAATTTTTCATTAGCATTTCCTTACTGCCCTGTGTGAGGAAACTGTTTTGGCTCTGCTTGTGAGATACTCAGTGTGTCCAAACATAAATCTTCAGGGTTCAAAACTTGCCCTGAGGAGGTGAAGCTGTAATACATTTAAATAGTTGACCCATCAGATGCTTGCCATTTCTGGGAGAGATGCAGAGAAATGTGCCATCTGTAAGTCATTTTCTAAGAAAACTGAGAAATTCTATCTGAAAATGTTTCTTCTGGGGTGATATGTGCATTCTTCCCCTGATCCTGGCATGCTCAGAGCAGAACTTCCCTGGTCTCACTGACTAAAAAGTACTCTGGATGCTTCCTCTGTTCATGGAACTGATTTTGTTCTGTAAAACATTGCCTGATATAGTGTTCCAGCCAAGGCAGATCGACAAGATTCAGGACCCTTTTAAGAATTGCTAACACACTGGGCATATCCACATGAGATGCTTTACTCAAGATCAGAGAAAATTACTGTGCAGTAAGCATCATCGCCAACATGTGCAGACGCTTACTGCACTGTAACTTGCTCTAATCGCAAGTAAATTTGCTACCTGTAAACACAAGTAGCAAATTTACTCAAGAGTAATTACGGCACTCTGGCATGAGTAGACAGCCAACTGGGAGAAAGTGTGCTCCTGGTCAGCTGGGCAGCACGGGGTGGGAGATTACTCCCTGCCCCTGGGAGCTGCTTGCTTCTAGGGCGGGCTCTGCCACCTGAGTCTGGGTGGGGACAATGTCCCTCTGCCCTGGCAGCAGGGAGTTCCCAGCCCCTGGTCCAAGATCATGGAGCCAGGGCTGGGAGTTAAGAATCTCCCAGACCCCACTCCCTGATCACAGAGCAGGGGCTGGGAGATAAGGATTTCCCAGCCTCTGCTCCACAATCGTGATCACAGAGCGAGGGTTGGGAGCTCCCTACTGCCAGGCAGGGGGACATTGTCCACACCCAGGCTCCAGTGGCAGAGCCTGCTTGGAAGCAGGCAGCTCCTGGGGGCAGGGAGCAATGTCCCAGCTGTCTAATGCTCCTTAGCAGCAGGTTGCCTCAGGGAGTTAGGAGTCCAAGTGATCCCACACTTAACGAGATCATGCAAAAACTCTGCATCCTTTTTCCCTTTGGGGCTAGAAAGTAAGCAAAGAGAAATTGATGCTGAATCTACCACAAAAAATGGAATTTTTAGGAACCACTCTGAACTCTGTAACAGCAGTGGCTCATCAGCCACTAGAGAGATTCTAAACCATGCTACCATACCTAACTACCTAGCTGAGCTTACCCCAGGTTCAGTGAGAACTCGCCTCAATCTGCTGTAGCTGCATGTGGTTTCCTGCACCTGTGTGATTCAGCCTGCCCAGCTTCCCCTTTGTTGGGCACAAGTTTGATTGAAATTTGTCTATCAGGTGGCAGATGTCAGCAGACATGTTACTAAACCGGTCATCACAAGCCCTGTCAAAATTCAGAGTGGGGATAGACTTAATGATAGTCTGTAAAGGAGTCCCATCCTTTCCTGCACTGCTGTCAGTGGCACTGGTGTTAAATTCCTCCACCAGTGTGGTGGGAAGTTGTGCTTAGGGAAGTTTATGAAACAAAGTACATGGACTCTCAAGAGACAAGGCTTCATATGAGCCCTTCATCAGGCAGGCTCAGCTTCTCTTCTCGTCCTCAAAAGTGTAAGACTGGAAGTCATCATGACAGGTAATACTACAAGCTGCATTTCTATAGACAAGCAAGGGAGATCTAGCCCACTATGTCACAAGACAGTATATCTTTGGAGCAGTCACATCCATTATGCAATCACTCTCAAAGCTGTTCAGCTGCCAGACAATGCAGAAGGTGCTGGAACTCAATAGATCATTTTTAACTCAACACAATAGCTGTGTCTGAATGGAGTCAGTCCACCATAGATTTCATTGCCACAAGACAGAACAGAAAGTGACATTGTGTTTGCTCCAGGGGAAGTGTGAGTTTGGAATCCATTACTGATTCCAGGGTCCTTAGGCCTTGTTTTTGCACACCTTTTAATCCCTTGTTTATGCACACCCATTCATCCCCAGTATTCTCAGAAAACCCAAGCAAGACTCAGCCCAGATGATCATGAAACTTCTGGCCTGGCCAGTCATTTTGGTAGTAGGAATTCAGAAACATATTTGACCACCCATGCACCTGCCAGACTTTATATTGCAGAAGTTTGACCAAGTCCTTCATACAAATTCATGCTCTCCATTTAAATATTAGCAGACTGACTTTGATGGAAAGAACCTTCTCATCAGGGGTACAAAAATCCCTATCCATAATACATAACAGACAAATTATGTTACTATAAAGAAGAGAATCATAATCTGGGTACAAAAACGTTAGTTATCACAGCCTTGAGCACAGATTTCAAACACACTATTTCCTGGATTTAAAGAGCTCAGAACAATTTTGGTGGTCAGTGAGGGTTGATCTCACAGCTGTTTCAGGTCTCCATCTTCCAGTAAGTGCATACCTTATGCTTTGTAATCCCTGAGTGGCCAAATTATTATAGGGACTCCTAAGAGTTAACTCCATAGTTAGAGATCCTGTCTCCCACTAGGATCTAAAAGTTCCCCTTGCAGGATTGATGGACCCATCTTTTGGCTACATGTCCTCTGCTTTCCCTTCCACATTAAAACAGCCTGATGGTGGCAATAGGATCAGACAGGAGGGGAGGGGTGATATAAGCTTTGATGGTAGAGTCCTGGATATAGTTTTTTTCTAAAGAGTAGCATGACATTAAGACTTCTTCCAAATTTCTACCAAAATAGTCTCTGACTTTCATTTAAATCAAGTTCTCAGAGTTTTGCTTTTGCTTCTGGTGGTGTCCACCTATGTCTCTCAAGCAGGAGGATCTGGAATCCATCCCTGTCACCATCAAATTCTGGAAGTCTATATTGTACTAACTGTAAAGCCTTGGGAGTGAGATTCTGTTTCACCTATCAGGCATCTAAGTGGACTTCAGCATTTGAGTGCAATCCTATTTTACCTTGTTCAAATCCCTGAAAATCCAGTAGTGCATCTACATTTGTAGGACACCATTATCTTATCTTTAACACTAAGTCGCAAAAAAGCAGCAAGGAGGAGGAGGACCTACCCACCTTTTGCATAAACTATTTTTCAGAGATTTAAGAAACGTGGAATAGAATATCAACAGGTAGACTGGCCCTTCATGTTTGTTATAATGCGACTTGTGTACCTCTTATTTTCTGCAAACCCCAGGTTTTAAGTGGTGATATTACCATTTTTACCAGGTTTCAGCATAGAACTGGACCGTGTAAAGAACCTGCCCTACTGTGAGACAGAAACTTTTGAAGTGAGGTTTGATCCCCGCAGCACAAGCCTGCCGCTTGGCGAAGTGGAAGTACTTCTGCCCATAAAGGTACTGGGTGTACCCTTTGGGTGTCATGTGGAAAGGTTCAGTTTTAGGCCCATACCCAGCTATAACACTAGTAGTAATTTACGGTAACACAAACTTGTAATGCAACCAGCCCAGGGCCCTGTGCAGTTGGACACTTTGCACTTCCTGGCACCACCCATGCAAAGTACCATCATATTCCTCAGTCCTGTAGAAATTTCCCCACTTGGTCAGCTTGCCACGTGCAGTTTGGATGTGAAGTTAGTTCTCACACAGACTGCTTAGCAGAGCATTGTGCTGTTTGCTTTAGGTTGTGGGTGGACCAACGTTTCACATCTGCCTTCGTGCCAATGTGATCATGCCGTCACTCTGCATCTCCAGTGACAAACTGGAGTTCTCCTCAGTCCAGTGTGGGGAGTGCCAAATAGAGACCATCCAGCTTCACAATCAGCTTCAGGTTACTTGTGAATGGTTCATCACCACTAATGAGCACATTAAAAAGGTAAAACAAAGATGGCAAACTGCTTCCTTTTTCTATTTCTCTTCCCCTTCTTTCCCTAGTATCCTCAACCCTGAATTCCACACCCCCTGTTGCACTGATTAGGACTTACAGCAGTAGTCTTAATGACTGCAGTGGAATACTCTCATATGAATAAGGATAGCAGATCAATTCCCTAAAACAGAGTATTAACCCAATTTTAACTTTTGTCATAGATTCAGTCTATTAGACCTTGGAGGTATTTTAAGAATTAAAAAACCAGCAAATACAGTTTGCAGAGCCAATATACCTGAGAGAAGAATTCCATTTTTAAGAACATGAAACAACAGCCTAATGCCCAATCCAGCTCTGTGCTGGAAACAGAGAAGTGTTTGTTTTGTAAGCCTGGCACATCACTTCTCAAACCTGAACAGAGCGGGACCTCAAGGGAACACTTCATCCAGCACACTCAGCATCATCAGTAGTTGTTCAATATCTTCACTGATGCTTTGGATGATGGGACTGAGTGGATGCTTAGCAAATTTGCAGATATCACCAAATTTGATGAAGTGGCAGACATTCTGGAGGGCAAGGCTAGGATCCAGAATTTTTTTTCATAGACATTAGGGCTGGAAGGGACCTCCAAAGATCATCGAGTCCAGCCCCCTGCTCCAGGGGTAAGAAGTCAGCTAGGGTCACAGGATCCCAGCAAGATAAACGTCCAATTGACTCTTAAAAGAGTCCAGAGTAGGTGCTTGCACCACCTCTGCCGGCAATCTGTTCCAGGCCTTGGGAGCTCGGACTGAAAGAAGTTCTTCCTTATGTCCAGCCTGAAACAGTCTTGGAGAAGTTTGTGCCCATTTGACCTTGTCATCCCATGGGGCGCTCTGGAGAACGGGCATTCCCCCAGATCCTGATGCACACCCCTTATATACTTATAGGCAGCCACCAGGTTCCCCCTGAGCCTGCACTTTTCCAGGCTGAAGAGTCCCATAGCTCTCAGCCTCTCATCATAAGGCCTTTTTTCCTGCCCTCTGATCATGTCCATGGCTCTTTTCTGGACTCTCTCAAGCTTCTCCACATCCTTTTTGAATTGTGGAGCCCAGAATTGGATGCAGTACTCCAGCTGCGGCCTTACCAAGGCTGAGTACAGCAGGAGGATGACATCCTGGGATTTGCTAGAGAAGCATCTATGGATGCAAGCCAGAATTTTGCTCACTTTGCCAGCTGCAGCATCACACTGGCGGCTCATATTCATCTTGTGGTCAATCATGACCCCCAAGTCCCTTTCAGCCATTGTGCTAGCAAGCATAGCGCTGCCAAGCCTATAAGCATGCTGTGGGTTTTTCTTCCCAGGGTGGAATACCTTGCATTTTTTGGCATTGAAGGCCATCAGGTTTTCATCTGCCCATTTTCTAAGCCTGTCAAGGTCAGCCTGGATTACTGTCCTGTACTCGGGTGTGTACACTTTACCCCAAAGTTTGGTGTCATCAGCGAAGTTGGCCAGTACACTTCTGACACCAATGTCCACATCGTTAATGTAGATGTTGAAAAGAATAGACCCAAGGACAGAGCCTTGGAGGACTGTCACAGGACGGGGTCCTTAAGGACGGCTGTGATCTCCCCAGGCCCCTTGACCATGCCAATTCGGCCCAGTGGGCACCCTCA